ACTGAGGCAGGAGCAGGAGCTGAGGTGCCACTGAGGAGCCTCAGCCCTAGCACTGCCTCCTCTCACTGGGAGGGGGGACCCCGCCCCAGCCGCTGCTCAGGGGAGGAGGGGCAGGGCTGAGGTCCCTCCTGTGTGCTGCTGAAGGGCCTGCATGCAGGGGCAGCCCGTGGCTATAGGTGGACTCAGCTGCCGCCTAGGGCACCGCCACCCAGGGGCCCCGCCAATGATGTCAGTTTGTCAGTTCATTGATGGCCCTGCAGGAGGGGGCACCGATCGCGTGTTCCACCTAGGGTGCCAGCTGCCGCAGCCGGCCTCGGGCCACTCCTGCCCGCATGCTGCAGGTTGCCAACCCCTGGCCTAGAAGACATGACCTATGAAGGAAGACAGAAAAAATTAGGACTGTTTACTTTAGAAGAGAGAAGACTGAAAGAGGTCATGACAGTAGTTTTCAAGCACCTAAAAGGATGGTTATAGGGAGGGGGATTTTTTTCCCTCCTTGATCTCTGATGACAAAGCAGCAATGGGCTTACATTGCATCATGGGAAGTTCAGGTTGGACATTGAGAAAAACTTCCTGTCAGGGTGGTTAAACACTGAAATAAATTGCCTAGGAAGGCGATGGAATTTCCATCACTGGAGACATCTAAGAGCAAATTAGATAGACATCTATCAGGGACGATAGCTAGTGCTTGGACCTGCCATGAGGGCAGGGGACTGGACTTGATGACCTCTGGAGGTCCCTTCCAGTTCTAGTGTTCTATTATTTGATTTTATGATTTTTCTGTGTGGATTGTATGATAATTATTAAGATCTGAGTGCACACTCAAGCTTTTCCCACAGAGCAGTCAAAGGGTTCCTCCCCAGTGTGGATTCTCCTATGTGTAGCAAGATGAGAGTGCCTATTGAAGCTTTTCCCACAGTCAGAGCAGTAAAAAGGTTTCTCCCCTGTATGGATTCTCCAATGTTTAATGAGGGCTGACCACTCCCTAAAGTTTTTCCCACAGTCAGAGCAGTTGAAGGGTTTCTCTCCTGTGTGAATTCTCCTATGTGTAATAAGGTCTGAGCTCCTACTGAAGCTTTTCCCACAGTAAGAGCAGTAGAAAGGTTTCTCTCCTGTGTGGATTCTTCTATGTCCAACAAGATGTGAGTTCCTACTGAAGCTTTTCCCACAGTCAGAGCACTTGAAGGGTTTCTCCCCAGTGTGGATTCTCCTATGTCCAACAAGATGTGAGTTCCCACTGAAGCTTTTCCCACAATCAGAGCAATTGAAAGGTTTTTCTCTTGTGTGGATTCTCTGGTGTCTGACAAGATGTGAGTTTCTACTGAAGCTTTTCCCACAGTCAGAGCAGTTGAAAGGTTTCTCTCCCGTGTGGATTCTCCGATGTCTAACAAGACCTGACCGCTCACTGAAGCTTTTCCCACAGTCAGAGCAGCTGAAGGGTTTCTCTCCTGTGTGGATTCTGCTATGCTGAACAAGGTTTGACCTCTCATTGAAGCTTTTCCCACAGTCGGAGCAGCTGAAGGGTTTCTCTCCTTTGTGGATTCTGCTATGTCTAACAAGATCTGAACTCTGACTGAAGCTTATTCCACAGTCAGAGCAGTTGAAGGGCTTCTCTCCTGTGTGGATTCTCTTATGTCTAACAAGGTCTGACCTCTTACTGAAGCTTCTCCCACACTCAGAGCAGGAAAAGGGTTTCTCCCCTATGTGGATTCTATAATATTTAATTAGGTCTGAGCTCTTGCTGAAGCTGCGATGTCTAACAAGACCTGACCGCTCACTGAAGCTTTTCCCACAGTCAGAGCAGTTGAAAGGTTTCTCTCCCGTGTGGATTCTCCGATGTCTAACAAGACCTGACCGCTCACTGAAGCTTTTCCCACAGTCAGAGCAGTTGAAAGGTTTCTCTCCCGTGTGGATTCTCCGATGTCTAACAAGACCTGACCGCTCACTGAAGCTTTTCCCACAGTCAGAGCAGCTGAAGGGTTTCTCTCCTGTGTGGATTCTATGATGTTTAGTTAGATCAGAGCTCTTAATGAAGTTTTTCCCACAGTCAGAGCAGCTGAAGGGTTTGTCTCTTGTGTGGTTTCTGTGACACTCAACAAGAGTTGCACGGTCATTGTTAGCGCAGGGTGCTTGTAGACAGGGTATTTTCTGTTGAACGGTTTCTGTGGTTCTTTTCATCCTTCTGCTCCTGTGACTGGATTTATTCTGTCCTTCCACTGGATGATTTCTTTGCTGCCTTTTTGGGCTCTGCTGATTCTCATAGGTGTCACTTTGCTCAGGACTCTGAGAAACATGCTCTTCAGATCTTCCTAACAACATCCCTTGTGGAGCCACTTGCTCCAAAACTTCTTGCTGAAGACTCTCCTCATTGTTCTCACTCAGCGTCCCATCACCTGCTGGGATAGAGAGAGAATCCAGGAATCATTCTTTGTTCTGAGCTGAAAGAAAAACTCTGAAAGGGGAATAGAAAAGAGGGAACATGCCCAAATAATGGCTGAAAAATTTGAATATTCTTGGTTTTTGACTTGTCTATGCATTTCATAATTTTCATTTCTCTTTTACACTTGAATGTAATTCTTTGAGTAGTGATGTCAAAGAACCTGCCGTGTCTGGAGTAATTATCCCTAGGATAATTGTGCTCCTGCAGGTGGTTGGCATGTCCCTACAGCCCCTGAGAAAGTCAGAGCAGGGGTCTCCACATGCTGTCCTTGCCTGTGGACACCACTCTTGCAGCTCCCATTGATCAATAATGGAGAACTGGGGCCAGTGGAGGTGGGGTTGGGGCCAGTAGATGAAGGGCAGCACAGGGAGCCACTGTTGTACATGCCAGGTGCTTTCAGGAGAGCTGCAGGGCCAGGACAGGTGAAAGCCTGCCTTAGCTCTGCTGCTCCATTCCTGGGGCAGCTGTCCGGCTGCTCCCAGGGCGGGTGGGTGCTACTCAAGCCCCCAATCCTGTGCTCCCCAGGCAAATGTTATATCCCCATGACCACTCCAGAGCCAACCCTACCCTGCTACCTTCAGAGGGTTGCTTATCCTGCTTTACTAGTGCAGGAGCCAGGTCCATCCCTGGGGCAGATGGTGTTGGGTGCCGAGCCACTGCCTGTGGGGGCGGGGATCAAGCTCACCATCCTGTGCTTCTCAGGCAAATCCCTGCCCTGCCCTATCCCTGAGTTCACTGGAGATCCCACTCTGCCTCCCTACCTTCAGTGGGTCCCTTACCCTGCCTTCTGCCTTCCTAATGTGGGCGCCAGCTCCATCCCTGGGGTGTCTGTCTGTCTGCTCTCAGGGAGGGCAGGACTTGAGCCCACCAACCTGCACTCCTCAGGTGAGCGCCCTATCCCCTGCTCTACTCCCGAGCTCACCCCACTGTCAATGGGGGGTTTGTTGGCTGTCTGGTTGCTCCCAGTGTGGGGGGAGGGGAGGGGAGGGGACTGGAGCCCACCATCCCCTGCTCCACTCTAGAACCCACCCCACCTCCAGCAGGTCTTTTATCCCACCTTCCTAATGCAGGCGCCAGTTCCATCTTTGGGGCAGCCTGAGTTGGCTGTCCAGTTGCTCCCAGGGTGGGTGGAGGGAGGAGCAGGACTCAAGCACCCAACCCTGTGCTCTCCTGACAAATGCTGTATCCCCTAGTCCACTCAAGAACCCACCTCCTCCCTATCATCAGAGGGCCCCTTATCCTGTGTGGGCTGTCTGGTTGCTCCCTGCATGGGTAGAGGAGGGACATGAGCTCCCTGGGGGAGGGGCAGGGCTTGATCCCACCACCCTGCACTCCCAGGCAAATGCCTCCTCTCCTAGGCCACTCCAGATCCCACCCCACCTCCTGACCTTCAGAGGGTCCCTTAACCTGCCTTCCTCAGGTGGGAACCAGGCCCATCCCTGGGGGAGCTGTTGTCTGCATTGCTTTGTATTCTGGGAAAAAGGGGGTGGGATCAAGACCACCACCCTGTGCTCCAGTAGCTGATGCCCATCCCCAAGTTCACAGGAGATCGCACTCCACCTCCCGGGCGTCCCCTCCCACACTCCGAACCCCTTGGCCCAAGACCAGAGCCTGCCCCCCAACCCTCCACACCAGGCTGGTGAAAGTGAATGTGATTCGGGGAGGAAGGGGGATGGAATGAGCAGGGCCTTGGTGAAGGGGGGTGGGGAAGGAAGCCGGGTAAGGGTATTTAGGTTTGAGGTAGATCTTACATGGCACTTAAACTGAAAAAGTGATCTTGTGAGTAAAAAGACTGGAGACCCCTGCTCTAGGGTACAACTCAGTCCAATCCAGGGCAGGACAGGAACACACTGCTCAGAAGGGGAGCTCTAGTGAGGGCTGGCAGGTCTGACACCAAGGCCCTCAGCCAGGGCTCAGACGGCAGCTGCCACATAGCAGGTCACTAGGACTTGGAGAGAAAGGACCCAGCAGAGCTCTAGCTCCCCAAGGGCTCTGCCCACAAAGCTCTTTGGCTCAGATGCTCTACTTGTACACATGGAAGTTCTCTGAGCGAGGAATGTCAATGAGAGGTTTACTGTATGATTCACTGATAAGCCTGGGCTTACTGTTTAACCATGTCAAGTATTTGCATTCCCCTCCCCACCCCCAATTTGGGAGGGGGCCGGGGAGGCTGTTGTGAAGCTCTCCAAGGACAGAGGCTGCCCTGCATCCCATGGAGGAGCCTCTCTCCATGGGGAGCTGGGACCCCCCATAGACAGGGGCTACTGCTGGACCAGCCTTTGTCCGCTCACTGCAGACAGAGGCTGCCCCTCTTCCCCCCCAGCAGTAGCCTCTGTCCACAGGAGCTCAGACCCCTGTGGACAGGGGCTGCTGCTGGCCTGCACTGCTGCCTCTAAAGCCAAGGCAGCAGTGAGGGGTGCCAGGCAGCTGGTCTGTGTGCGGAGCTGGTTTTTCAATGCTGATGTACAGGCAATGCGCGAGGTGGGCAGGATGCTCGCAGGAGTGGGGCCAGGAGTGCACTGGTTGCTGGCCCTGCCTGAGAGGCTCTTTGAATAGTCATGTAACCACTAAGATTTCATGCGTCCCTAACCGTGACACCCCATCCTAGCTGAGCAGCTCAGGCCGGCTTGCTGGCGTTGTAAGAATGCCTTGTAGGAGGCCATCGGCTTTGTGGAGTCCTTCCTGGAGGCTGGCTGGCCTGGCCGGGGAGAGGCACATCTTTCCCTTGGCTCAGAGGTAGGGAGGAGCAGGGAAGGGGTGTGTCACGCTGCCCTATCGAGACTGCCCAAGGGGACCAGGCCAGCAATGGAGCCCTGCAGCTACAGCTGCCCAGCACTCCTGACACCTAACGAGTGGCCCAGGCTGCCTGTGACCTGACCTGGCTGAGGAAGCTCCCAGGCCAATTTTTAAGCCCAGCAGCAATAGCAGCTGAGTGCACGTGGCCACTGCCTGGCTGCCTTGTTGTCTAATCAAGTCATGGAGGTTGAAAGATACGAGGCTCCCGATCCTGAACGTCTCTGTCTCCACAGAGAGTGCTGGGAGAAATGGGAAGCGCTTGGGGTCCTGGACAAACCCTGAGCCCTTGTTGCTTTTGTGAAGTGACGGATGGAACCACTTGAGGGGATGCGTTGTGGCTCCTGCTTCCGATCCTGCAGCTCTACCTCACGTTCTGGGATGTCCTCGCTCTGGGCCGAGCCATGAGCTGGGCAGAGCCCCTGGCTGCGTGTGACCCCCTCCTGTCATGGAGCAGCTGTGCACACCCTGCGGCTGGAAAAGTGGGATCTCCGTGCCGTTCCATGAGGAATTGGTGCTCAGCGTCGCTGCTCAGCACGGACTCCATGGGCGCCGCCAGTCACAGCGCTGTGACGCACCAGTGTAAATGCGCCCCTGGTGTTGTGAGCTGCTCCCTTCCTGGAGGCGCTTTGTCTAGAACCCTGGGAAAGTTCTCTTCGAGGACTCTTGTCATGACAATACTGCCACACTGATAGTAGGGGTGTCACATTCCTCCTTCCTCATCACATAGTTATAAAGTCTGAACTCATAGACTCATAGACTTTAAGGTCAGAAGGGACCATTATGATCATCTAGTCTGACCCCCTGCACAGTGCAGGCCACAGAATCTCGCCCACCCCTCTTAGAATAATCCTCTCACCTATGTCTCAGATATTGAAGCCTTCCAATACTTTGAAGGCCCCAACATGCAGAGAGTCCTTCAGCTGTGATCTGTGCCCAATGCTACAGAGGAAGGCGAAAAACCTCCAGGGCCTCTGCCAATCTACCCTGGAGGAAAATTCCTTCCTGACCCCAAATATGGCGATCAGCTAAACCCTGAGCATGTGGGCAAGACTCACCAGCCAGACACCCAGAAAGTTCCCTATAATGAATGGTCAATTAGTTACCAAGATCATGTTATTTCATCCAACCATCCCCTTATCATAGAATCATAGAACTGGAAGAGACCTCAGAAGGTCGTCAAGTCCAGCCCTCCGCTCTAGGCAGGACCAATCCCATCTAAATCACCCCGGCCAGGGCTTTGTCAAGCCGAGACTTAAACACCTCTAGGGATGGAGACTCCACTACTTCCCTAGGTAACCCATTCCAATGCTTCACTACCCTCCTAGTAAAATAGTTTTTCCTAATATCCAATCTGGCCCTCTCAGACTTAAACACCTCTAGGGATGGAGACTCCACTACTTCCCTAGGTAACCCATTCCAATGCTTCACTACCCTCCTAGTAAAATAGTTTTTCCTAATATCCAATCTGGACCTC